GGCGCCATGGAATTGGAACACACGGAACCGGTTCTGAACAGGAACCAGTTTTCGATTCCAATTCCTAGATATAACTAAGGATATCTAATTAATCTTTCTCCCAAGATAGAGCTGATCATAATTTTTACATTTCAGAAAGAGTTTAAGTTTGTACCAATGACATCATATTTAGACCAACGTGTTCAACTAGTCATGGATCCCTTTAGGAGGCCGTCTGTGGCTAAAGAACTCAATATCAGAGATAAGTGGCTTAAGAAACCAAGAAAATAAAAAATAATAATTATAAGAAAAAATAAAAACAAATAAAAAGTTTTACCAAAAAAAAAAAATGTAGTAAAATATATAGATGACTAAAAGATCAGCAGAAAGTCTGATTAGTTTGGAAGGAAAATATGAAGAAACGGTTGATAACTCTGGTTTTTGCACAGTGGTACAGATAAATAGTTTCCCTCTCATGTAAATAATGGGTGAGACTCGTTTTAGGTTTACTTTGGCCGACAACAGCTTCAGCTGGCAGAAACGGTCATAAACAACCTGCTGATGAGATGAATGCAGCTAAACGAGCCGATCAAATAAGTAAAACCCAAAACTATGTGTCCAGACGGAGTCCAAAACAATGAGATGAGCTGCAGAGTTGGTAACAGTCATCTATGGAAGCCGCCATCACTGTTCAAATAGACATCAGATCATTGCAGCTCAATGTTTATGTTGAAATGAAAATATAATTAAGTTCTTTGGAGCTCTCTTGAATCCGCCAGGTATCCATAAATAGTTTTTCCTCTGATGAATTAGGAACATGTCATATCACACAGACAAAGAATATAAATATAAACAATAAAAATCTTCAGTGTTTTGCTACACATCTGTGCTTGGAAATCCTGCTTGCCGATTGAAAATAAAAAAGCTTTGACAGGACAGAAGCACTTAATTATCTCAGTTAGACCTTTTCCCCTCTTTGTCAAAATTAGTGACGCACATTGGTTAGTAACTGCAGAACTGGCACGGGTTCTCAGCAGCAGATGGCTCCTGCATTAACATTCCAGTCGACTTGTCCTTGGTGGTTTTTGTTTTTTTGCAGAACAGACTTGGTCAGGAAAACGAGGGAAGGCATGTTTAGATTTCTCTAGTTTTTGCACAGGAAAAAAATGTCACACATTTAAAGAGAAAAGCAAAAAAAAACTGCCACGGAGGACGAAGCTTGTGTCAAAACAAATTCCGGACCAATCTCCTTCCTTTGGCCTTGATACGAGGAAAAGTGGCGCTCGTCTCTGTGGTGATGGGCTGTGAGCTGAGAGGCGTGTTCCCGCCTTTCCTCCTCAACAGGAAGTCAACACTGGATGACGTCATAGCGTAGAACACGTTTCCTTTGGCAGGGATGACCAGTTCTGCATAAAAAGCAGAGAGACAAAAAGTTTCTAACTGCTAACATAAGAACCGTGATGGTTGTTCAATGCTGTAGCAGAAAGCAGCTCATTCATGTGAGACAAATGCATCTAGCCCTGCCCCCGGGAATTGTTCCATATTTAGAAATTGAAGTAACTGTCCCGTATTTAGTGGAAAAGGAATGCATTTTGTCCCATTTTACTGTGAGAGTAAAAAAAAAAAAGTCAGTAAAAAGCTAATAGAAAATAAAGAACACAGGCACGTTAGATACAAAACTTACGGTAAACTTGTTCCCGTCACTGTCCTGCGTTGTGACCAATGAGCTGACAACATATATGTAATGATGCAAGAAGAAATAATAGACTATCGCTACATAATGTGGCATTGAGCTAATGATTTTTTTTGTTCTGTTTTACAACTGTAGCCTTAAGTCATTGCATTTAAGGCAAAGATATGTTTACAAGTTTGCACAAGTTGCTGTTGCACCAACAATGTGCACTGTTTATTTATTGTTTTAGTTTGAAGTTTGAAGTTACACAGGACAGGCTTATCTTTAAGATACTTATTTTATTCAACAAAGTTTGTTATTTTGTATTAAAGTGAAATGCTGGATAATATTTTGTTTTCCATGTGTTCATGTAGGGTGGCCCAGAGGTGTCACCACTAATACAAAAGCTGTAACACAAATACAAGAGCCGCAACACAAATACAAGA